GGGTAGGAGGGGGGAAAATGGGGGCATATGTAATAGTTTGAACAATAAAGATAAATTAAAAAAAATAAAACAAAAGTAATACCCCTGCGCCTAAACACACTCAAAACAGAAATGCTGGAAGTAAAGACCGAAGAACTCACAAAGAAATGTCGGGGAGTCCAGTGAGTTTTAAGAGAACAAAGCTGACTAAAGCAAGCACAGAGCTTGAACAACGCAAAGGAAATACGACTGGTGTAAACGGGAGGGCACTCACTGGTGCTTTCAGAGGCCTGCGGGTGGAGGAGTTGGTGCTTAAAGCCTAATAGATATATGGAGAAGGGACCAAAGCAAGTTGCTAGAGAAATATGACTAGTTAAGAGAAAGAAAAAAGGGAAAATTTGGTAACATTTGTGATTAAAGCAATGGATATTTAAACTAAAATAAGTGCTCATTCTGCTTTTTAAATTAGCATATCTCTATTTTTGTGTCAGAGTGATGTCCAGTGTGGGCACCATGCAGTGAAAATGAAATGCTGTGTTTTTTCACTGTGTGCCAGTGTACATCTGTACAATTTCCACTTGTTAATCCCTAGATGGATCAAATCCTTAAATTTGATTTGTGGAAACAAATAAATTAAACCTTAGACTCTAAACCATGAGCTAGCCCTAAAACCCTAAGCATTAAAAAGTAGTTCCTTCAGGTAGAGTTATTAAAATTAAAAGCACACAGAATATACACAGTATTATGTGTATATTAACACATTTTTAAAGGAGATATGATTGGGTAGACATAATTGAATTGGAAATCCTAAGATACCTAGGATCCAGGCGATTGGGATTCGATTCCTGATCAGGGCACATGCCCGGGTTGTGAGCTCAGTCCCCATTCGGGGACCTGCAGAAGGCAGCTGATCAGTGATTATTCTCTGATGTTTCTATCTATCTCTCTCCCCCTCCTTTCCTCTCTGAAATCAATAAAGGTATACTTTAAAAAAAATGCCAAAAGAGAATGCCTTACTTGGTAAAACTTTGTTAAAATCGTATTTTGTGTTCTTTATCTTTGTAAATAAGATGCATAGTAAATCAGTTTTATTTCTAAATTTACTTACATTTTAAATGATTTCTTAGACAAAACGAATTTTAAAAATTCAATCAGCAGATGTTAAAAAATTAAATTGTTTATTTTTCTTCTTTCTGTAGGTCGTTTATATGCAATGCAAACTGGAATGAAGATTGATAGTAAAACTCCTGAATGTCGTAAATTTTTATCAAAGCTAATGGATCAGTTAGAAGCTGTGAGTTAAATAGTGATAATGTATTTTCTGATTAATGTTTAAAATGATATTTTATTTCATTTGTGTGTGTATGTGTTGTCATTTTAGTGCTTTTCCTTGCTGCAATCAGCAGTGTCATTATAGCTGATGAAGAAAATGACACAGGTTTTTTGTTGTTTGTTTTTTGTTTTGTTTTTTTAATATCATACTGCTAAGGAAGTTATAAGGAAAATTCAAAATAGGCCCCATTATCTTTGCATATACCATTATATCTTGTTCTGTGTTATTATAGATGGCCCTTGAGTCATCCTTTCATAAGTGATGCACCCTTTCTAACCTTTCCTCATGCAGTCGCATGGATGACTGAAATGGGCTATTTATTTAGTGAAAGGAACAATGAAGGAAATGATACCAGTTGTCTCTCCTCTCTTCCTCTCACACTTGGTCCCAGGGTAAGATGCTCTTTGATCCATGCATTCTTGCCCATTTGAAGAAATGTGATAGGTGACTAATGAGTCACCTTGAATTTCACAAGTTATGGAGAGATACCAATGTATAATTTCACAGGTTATTATAAATGTTGCAAGTTACTCTGATCAAAGCCTGGTTGTATTAAGCAGTCACGGGCAGTAGTGTTCTCTATAACTTGGTATAGGTGCCTGGCCTTCAGACCCCCGTCATCTGCTACTGTTGACCACCCAAGGTGGTTCTGGTGTCACCACTGTGGGAATTCAGCTGTCCCCATAGCCTGTCTGGCCTTACACTTCTAACGCTACTTCTGTGGATGCAGGAAAAATTGGAGTGTTCCTTTTTTTTGGAGGGTGGGGTTAGATAGCCGGAAGAAGACCATGTCTTACACATAGTGATATATTTGTAAAATCCATCTCTAACAGAAATTTTATATAGAGTATATTTCTCATTTCACAGTAGAACAGTAATAGGTAAAATAATAACTTTTGAATGAGACAAAACTCAGTTCTTTGTAATAAGCAGAGTATAAAATCACATTTATAAAGTGAATCATCAGGAGTCTATTATCTAAATTAAATAACAAGTAGAGTAAGCTTATTTGGTGGTGAGAGCACAACTGCCTAATATATTTGTATTACATTTGGAAAATTTTTAGTATATTATATTTTTGCTACCAGGTATTTTATGTTGAAGCTGAGATGACATACTCTTACTAACTTATTTCTAGAATTAAATCTGCCTATAGAATTAAATAAAAAATTAAATGATTTCATGCTTTGGATACAGTAAACTAGTGTTATCCATAGGCTTTTTTTTTTGTTTAGGAAAATCATAGCTAAAAATATCTCTAAATTCCAACATTGAATCCCTTCTGGACATTAAATTATTCTGTTGTAATTATGAGAATATTTACTTTGTTGATTTTATGAAAAATCCTGAGACCTTTTTTAAATATAATTTTTTATTTTATAATGTTTTGAGAAAAGCAATTATAAAACAGTAGTATGGTGCTAAAATGTAATATTCCAGGTGGTTTATTTCAATGTGACAATCTGAATAAAATGTAGGAATTTAGTTTATTTTTAAGATACTTTAAATTATTGTATGTGTAGAAAAGGGATATACTAACTGGAAATGTACACAGTAGTAAATTGTGTTGCTTTGAGGTGTATGTTTTTCTAAATTTAAAAAACTTTCATAATCCAGTTCCAGGTTTGTCATGTATACCTTACTTAGAATTAGACCTCTTATTTTACACGTTCTCTGAGAGATACTATTATAGGATATAGTGATCGTTTAGTTTTATTTTTTTTAATGTGATAAGAAGAAATTGAAATGGGAATAAATTAAAGTTTTAAATTATATATGGTTAGGAAAGGTAGTACATTGGATGATACATTATTTTGAAATATTTGTGATGCTTTAAAGTAGATACTTGGATGTGTTATGTTTTTATTCTTGGTTATTTTTATTTCTTGAGTTAGTTATACTTTCAGGTTATCGTATGTATGTTTCTTCAAAAATTTGTGAACATTGGATTTTGTTTTAAATACCCTGGGCTGAGGCAGAGCAATTTTTTTCTTTGAAGGATTTCAGTGATACATCTTTTACTGAAATGAATATAAATAATTTACTTAAAATGATTGTAAGTCCAAAATCATAAGCTTTGTATTTGATTTTCTTTTAGCTTAAGAAACAGTTGGGTGATAATGAAGCTGTTACTCAAGAAGTAGTTGGTTGTGCCCATTTGGAGAATTATGCTTTGAAAATGTTTTTGTATGCAGATAACGAAGACCGGGCTGCACGATTTCACAAGTAAGTAAAGAAAGAGGAAAATAAAAATGGTAAGTTTAGTTGCTCTAAACCAGAATTATCCAGTTTTGTATTGAACACTTTCTGACTTCCTGATTAATGATTTAAATTTTTAAAAAGTACTTGTAGAATCTCAGAATGATTTTGAGTATCAACTGTAATCCTCTCTTTTTAGAGAAAATGACTGAAAAAATCTAATATTTCTCAAAATCTAAGTTGATTTTAGCCAAAAACAACCTAGTTCAGTGATGCTGATTTTAAAAACTCCCACTCCACCAGTTCAAATGGTTTGTCATTATTATAATAATACTTAAGTGCAAAGAAATGCACATGGCTTGATATGCATTATCTAAGATCAAATGTGTACTATAAAATCTTACTGTATAGTACTTACCTATAGTGTAAGTATTGCTACTTTCTCCTAATAGCATTATAAGAGGAGCTCCATTGTGTTCTTAAAATTTTATTTAAAATATTGATTGCAGAATGCTTTAATAAACATTGGAATTTTTTTTATATAGTTACATAACTAACCCTACATCTTAATGTTTTTTCTTTAAACTAGACCAGCTCTCTTTTCTATTCCAGAAACATGATCAAGTCTTTCTATACTGCAAGTCTTTTAATAGATGTCATAACAGTGTTTGGAGAACTCACTGATGAAGTGAGTATATATTCTTTATTGTCTTAATAGCTAAAGATCAGTATTGTTGCTGTTTATCAGTTTTATTATAGCAATGTTTATTTAAAGCAGCCTGTCCATCTGAAATGCAATGGAAACAAAAAATTTAATTTTAAAATTACTGCACATTTTTCAAAGTATAAACAAAAGAGGTTGTTTTAAATAATGTATGTATATTTATTTTTGTAGTAAGTTTTTTAAATTCAATATGTATTTTATACTTTAGCAAATGCATGACTACTGTATTGGGCAGCACAGGTTTTGAGTTTGATTTTATTAAGGGTTTAAATACTACTAACCCTGTATGCTGTTAAGTTCCTTCACTGTTATTTGGTATAAACATACTGGAGGCAGAGATGACTTAAGGACTTTTTCCTATTTCATTTCTATCCAGAAATATTATTATTTATGATTTGTTTCTATTGTAAAATACATATATAACATGCTATTTTACAAGGTACTTCATATTAATTTGTTTCTCATAATCTAAGATAAGTAGAGTGCATAATCATTTTATACATGAGCAAATTGAGGCTAAGTGACAAACATTGCTGTGATTTCAGTGTTGTTTTCACTGTTGCAAGAAAATTTGTTTTCTGAGAGGGGAGATGTTAATCTAGAAAGAGATAGGGAGGGGGAAAGGAGAGCCATAATGAGACTGATAAAGGCATGTTATATTGGTGATTTGAAATCTATGAAGAACACTGCTTTCTGTGGTAGGATTTTTTCAAAATGATGAGCAGTTCATAGTAAAGTTCCAAACAAAACAAAGTATAATCTATGAAATATTTGCAGTTTTGTAAAACAATATATCAAAACTGTGCAAAAAATTATTTATGTTTGTATGTAAAATGAAGTTAAGTTCTAGGCTTGGTGATTTAAGCATGGTTTTTGCATTGCAGAGTTGTGCAGGACTTTCAAAATTGTGTGATTGCTCCTTTTATTTCAAAACACCAAAGCATCCCTGGCCCTTGACCTACACAGCATTACCAGTCATTCAGATAACCAGAAACCACCCCCAGATATTTTCAAAACACCTTCTAGTGTATGGGACAATGCCCATTGAGAGCCACTGCTGTACAGTTTTCTGGAGACAGAGGAGTATAAGACGAAACTGAGACCTGGAGTATGGAAATCTGCAGTTCTTCTCAATGGCTGGCACATTTTGTGAATCCCGGTGGATCCACTCTGTTTAGCAACCTTTCTACTCCTTTCTATTGACCTGCATTTCTTTTCCGCTCTGTTGCACATGTATGGGGCACTATACTAGATACTTGAGGATGCCGAGGTGATTTCAACTTGACATTATGGAAAGCTTTAGCTAGTTCAGTACGGTTTTAGTGAGCACCAAGCAGGCACCAAGCAGGCACAGGAGAAGAATGGACCTCAGATTAGCAAAGTAAGTCATAAACCAGATGAGAACAGATTCTAGTAGGGAGAAGAGAGACGGGTAACATAGCAATATGGGTGGGTTCGTGTTGAGAGCAAGCAAGCTGCACACCTGAGGCCGTCTGTATGACATTTGCACATAAAGGTTTTTAATCTAATTAAATTATCTTTACTTTTCTTTTGAAAAAATAGCATTTTTTTAAAAAGGCCCTAGGTTCATGGCCTAGATAACTACAATTTACATAATTATTTTTATACTATTTTTTTGTTCTTTTTCCATGCAACCTATTCTTCGCTGTCATTGTTTTGCTGAAGAACCTATACGGTCTTTTTATTTCCAGGCATTGCAGGTTCATCTTACTTGTGGGACTTCTTACCAGTCCCATTCATGTTTGTCAGGCCAGTCTGCTCCCAGCTTTTACCACTGGGAACTGTGTCTTTTGAGCCTGCTTTACCTGAGTCTTACATTCCCTTTAAGCCTTAGCTACATTTTTCTTATATGAATTTCTCCATTCTCTCAACTCTTCCACCTTTAGAGTCTCAGCTGTGTGCATATTACACTATAAGTGTATTGATTGAGTTTTATATATTACATTTTGGAATAAGTTATACTGCAAGTCCTAGAAGGGGAACTTTGTCTCATTCTGCTAGCTCTTCCTTGGCATTAAGTGCAGTTTACACACTGAGTAGATGTGGTGGCTAATCAGTTACTGTTTCAAAAGTTGTTATAGTTTAGCTTTTTATTTTTTTACCTGTAGTTGAAAATAATGTTCAGACCTGTTTACATAGAACTTCTTTAGGTACACCTATTGAACTCTCTTAACTGTGCCTTACATAATTCCATTTCAGTATGTTATTAAATGTGTTGCTATACACACTTTCTGTAGCTTTCTTGAATTCAGTGTCCCAGTTTTAGGTATAGAGTCACCAGAATATATATATGTAAACTTTAAATTTGTATTATAAAGCAAGAAATGTTCAAAACTTTTTATTTCCTACTATATCTTATTCTATTTATGGTCAATGTTATTAATAGGCTTTTTTTTGTATTTTAGATTTATTTCACTTTTAGCAGTGTGTAAGGAGCAGATACCATTTTACCTTCTTTGCTTTGTAGTCTTTAGATTTAATACTGCTAATTTAGGAAGAATATGAAAATCACTTAAAAGATAATGATACTGCTTTTACCTCTTGAGTTTCTGCTAATTTAAAAAATCAAATGCATATGGCATGTTTTCCTGCCCTCAAAGACCTTGTGTTCTGACTTGGAAAGAGAAGCAAAATAACTGACTATAATGATATGTGGCCTAGTAATGATAAAATACAGGGAAGGGATCCACTTCTACCACTTGACAGGCACTGTACTTAGACCCTTTAGATATATTTTGTTTGACTCTGTGATAAAGGTCCAGCTTTTATGTTTTTAATTTGCAATTTGTTGCAGACTGATTGTTTTGTAAAATACAAGTAATAATTGAATTACTAGGAAAATGAAACTTAAAAGACACACAAAAAGTACAAGCCTAATTTGCTGTAAGTTTCCTAAATACTCTCAATTTGTGTACTATGTTGTCACAAACTGGTGTACAGTTTGCAGACTAGCACTGGTTCTGGGACCACATTTTGTTTAGCACTGATCTAGACCCCTCTATGGAAGACCCCAGTGAATCCTGTTTATATCCCAATCTAGGACTTTTGCTTCTGGAAAAGCAGGGCTCCAGCAAAACTGGACCAATTGTGTATACGTGTTGCCATCTGGAAGGAGGTAGTCTGTTTAAGGTATCCCTTTGTATTGGAAGTTTCTGAATTAAGCAACATTGTATATATTAAGATGAGTTTATTTAGAAGTAGATAGGCATTATGTATTGCTACTAACTGTATTTGGAGGTCCAACATGTCTAATTGGAGTCCCATAAAAGAGAGCAAAAATAAAATGGAGAAGAAAAGGTTTTAAAGAAATAGTGACTATAGATTTTCTAAGTTGGTTGAAAAAACAGTTATGGATCCAAGAAACTCAGTGAACCCCAAATAAAATAAATACAAAGAAAACCATATCTGAGAGCATCATAGCCAAACCAGTGATGTTCAACTGTAGGAGGCCAAATCTTAAAGAGCAGTCTTAGGAAACAACACATTATGTACAAGGTAACAATGCTTTGAAGGATGGTTGACTTCTCATTTTTTAAAGTGTTGGCAGGAAGATAGTGAAATTGACAACATTTAGAGTACTGAAAGAAAAAAACAAGCCAATAAACCCTGTCAACTCAGAATTCTATAAGAGGAAAAGTATCCTTCAAAAAAATTAAGGTAAAATAAAAGACATTTTCAGGCAGATTAAGTCATTGCTTTCAAATCTGCACTGAAGAGCTAAAGAACTAAACAGCAAAAAGGAAGTTTTCAGTCTGAAGGAAAATAATACCAGATGGCAACTTGGATATTGGGAGGAATGAAGAACATTTGACATGGTATGTACGTAAATACATTAAAAAAACTATATATATATTTTTAAATTTTAAAAAAAGGTATATACCTGTTTAAATAAAAATTATAACTATACATATCTATTTGGAAAACCCAAAAGAAGGCAAGAAAAGAGAGGAGAGAGAAACAAAAAGAGATGAGACTAATATAAAACAAGTATCAAATTTTGACCTAAATATAGCTGTATCAGTAAGTACTATAAATAGTAAATGGACTAACACTACAATTTAAAAGTAGAGATTTTTAGACTAGATAAAAAAACAAGCTCTAACTTTATGTTGTTTACAAGAGACACTCTTTAAATACTGAGACAAATGTTTTGTAAATGAAAGAATGGAAAAAAATATTCAATACAGATATTGAGTAAACAAAATCCAGGTGGCTGTATTAATATTAGACAAAGTGAATTTTAAGATGTGTTACTAGAGGTAAAATGGGATATTGTAATGATAAAGGGTTCAGTTCATCAAGAAGATATTAGTTTAGAATGTCTTTACCAAATAACATATAGTTTTAAACTATATGAAACAGAAATTGATAGAAATAAAAAAATATGCATAAATTCTTAATCCTACTTGGAGATTTAACACCCCCACCCCCCAATCATCAGTGTAATAAGTAGTTTTGAAACAGTAAAATTAACTAAAATGAACAGACTGGCCACATCAAATATTGGCTAGAATCTGGAGAAACAAGGGCTTTCTTACATTGCTTGGCGAAAATGTTAGACATTATAACCACTTTGGGAAAAGATTTGGCAGATTTTTATAAAGTTAAACACACCTACCCTTTTACCCAGTAATTCCTCCTTGGTGTTTATTTAAGAGAAATGAAAACATTTTTCCAGAAAAAGACTTGTTCAAGAGTGCTCATAGGAACTTTATTCATAATAGCCCAAAGCTGGAAACAACTGAGATGTCCACCAGCAGAGGAGTTGATAAATAAATTGTACTACTGCTAAAGTATAAAAAGGGACTACTGATATACCCTACAGCATGAACGAATCTTGTGGATGTCTGCTGAGCAAAAGAAGACTCAAAAGAATGAAAACTATGAGTCCCTTCGTATAAAAGCAAATTTATTCTAGTGAAAAAATTAGGTGGTTTATTTGGGAGTCTGGGCAAGGGAAAATTGATCTGGAAGGGGATATAAAGGAACTTTCTGGGGAACTAGAAATGTTATATTTTGATAGGAGTATGTTTTACACAGACAAATCTGTCTGTCAAAGCTCATCAGATTATACATTTAAGATTTATCCATTTCAAGGTATGTCAGTTTTACCACAAAAGAAAAATAGTTAAATATTGAACTGTTATTTGTAGGTTTGGTTTTTCTTTATGGTATTAGGTTGTCAGTTCTGAAACTGCTTACTCTGTGTACTAGAATTGAGCAAATGAGTAATATTGAAGGAGCCAGGTTTCTTACTTCTGGGAAAAGAACTTAAAATATGGGATTTGAATGTACTACATTGTATTTGTGTTGAATTAGATTTGGAGTTGTCCATATTAATTTATGCTTTTAAATGTATTAGATAAATAGAGCAAAATCGATATATGTATATAGATAGTATATATGTATACTACAGACGTGTGTATATACAATATATGTATGCGTTTGTGTATACAGTCTGTATCATAGCTGTGTGTACACATGCACATGAAACATAGTTCCTATGTCTCTGTACTGAAAGGACCTGGAAGCAGTCATGCATCAATAGCAGTGAGCACCCCTAGTGTCTGATTTGGGGTTCTAGATACCATCATCTGTAAAAGGAGTCAGGATTCTTATAGAAAGGGCTGAGTCTAGGGCTGGGTCAGAGAAAGTACTAGATGAAGTTAGACCTGCTTATACCAGAAAGTAAAGAAGTGTTGACATAATCACAGTAACATGTCAAAAGAATCCAGAAGCCAGTTTGAAAGGGTTTCCACTGTCCCAAGTCAGGGACAATTTGGGCCTCAAAGTAAGAATGATACTAATACATGATAACCATTGAATAAAATAAGACTCTGTGGGTCTCTACTGAAACATACAATGAAGTAAATGACTGACTGAAAGAATGAATGAATGAATGAATGAGTGATGGAATAACAGAGAAGGATCTTTACAGTAGAATTCTAACTAATAAGTATAGAAGTAAAGATGAAGTTAGAAATCATTTATGGAATTTAAAACTAGTTGGTGTAAAGTTTGTTGAAGAGCAGGATAGGGCTTTGCTAGAAGAGGGTATGTAAGATTATTTGGAGGTCAGATAGAGGATTAGTAGGCAGGACATAGGAAGGAAACAAGACTAGAGTGTCATAAAAAGCAGGAATAGAGAATGTTTCACAAAGGTTGGAATGGTTCAGTGTTTATTATGCTTCTGGGCAATTTGGTGAGATGATCACCTGAAAGGTGTCCTTTGGATTTGCCAGTGTGATAGATCGTTGCTAACATTAGCAAGAGGAATTCTTCAGGTAAACTGATGACTTAAACAAGGTGGAGTCTGGCACATGTAGAATCCCTCCACTGGAATGCATGGATACATTCAAATTTTCTCATCTTTTTTTAATAAAAATAAGAACAAAATGAAAAAGAAAGAGAAACTTTTTCTCCCTAGAATGAATTGGGTGGTGAAGTAAAGACTTTAAATGTGGATGCTTCTTTTGGAGAGCTTTTTTGTGAAGTAGAACAAATTATAATCACACCTGGAAATTGGAAATCAATGTATAGAACCTTTTTTATAATGGAATATATAAGAGGATTATTTGATAAGAAAGGGGAAAGTAAATATGGTACATATTCAGTAATTTGGGGAGTTACATTTTAGGGTTCTGTATACTAATCTGTAGTATCTGGAGAATCTCACATAAAATACTCAACTAAATATCAGGACTGTATGCTGTATTTGTACTCATTGGTGACTTAGTGGGTTTTTGCAGAAGGCAGAAACTGTGTGTCCCCTCAAACTCCATTGTGCATGCAGATCCTCTGGGGATCTTGGTACAGTACTGATTGTGATTCAGGTGTGAAGACACTGCATTTCTAACAAGCTCCCAGTTGATACCAGTACCACTGGTCTGGGAGTATCATAAAGATCTATTAACTATATGAACTAAAAATCACTAGACCATCCAAAATTCTGACAGATTTTACTCTTGTATATTTTCAAACAAGACAAAATATTTTGCCTGATTTTATAGCATATAGCATAAATTTTAAAGGCAGGAAAGAAGAAGCAACTAGCAGGTTCTTCACTGATACTTTCAGTTCTCACAATAATCCCATGATGTATTACTTCCCCCTTTTTGGAATTGCTGTAATTGAGACTCGTGTTCATTTTTCTAGATTTGTACAGATTAATTTTTTCCTCTGTAGTGATAATAGTTTAATATATTGTTGTCCTTTATATTTAATTTTAGAATTCCATCTAGCCTGGTTCTCCCCTCTGCATAAAAGTTGCAAGTTTTGCTTGCAGGACACTCTCATATTTCCATTGCAGACCTTTTCTGAAATTCAAAACCATAAAAGAGAACTGGGCATGTATTTTGAGGAAGATAGCTTTTCATGAAGCCTGTTGAGCCTTAGACAGTTGGTAGAATCCAGTAGTAGGATGGGGAGGGCGTCAGACTCTTTCAGAGCTGTATAATGCAAAAATGGGTTTTATCTTAAAAATATGGTATAGGTTATCATAAATGTATTTTTACTTGACTTTTTACTGCAATCTAAATACCGATATAAAAATCTTTCTTTTAGAATGTGAGACACAGAAAGTATGCAAGGTGGAAGGCAACGTATATCCATAATTGTTTAAAGAATGGAGAAACTCCTCAGGCAGGGCCTGTTGGACTTGAAGAAGATAATGGTATGTATTTGTTTATCTATGTAAAATGATGTAGGAGAGTCATAATTGTTCAGTATATTATTATTTAAAGTTTTCTGAAGGAACCATACAATTGTTTCCCCCCTTCAGGCCCAAAATTCATGAAAATCATGTATAAAATCATAAATTTAGGGATAGTGAGAAATTAAGGCCAAACTCCTCTAATGTCTAAAAAGTCTTGTAAAATATATAGTATTTAATATAGTATTTACTAGTTCTGCTTTTGTTTATTTGAAACTTTATTAAGCACATACACCTTTATAGTTTATTTTTTTGTTGATTACCAGCCGTTTTATCATTATGAGCCATCCTGTTGTACCTCTCTTAATATTCCTTGGCATGAGTTCTGTGTTTTCTGTTATTGAAATTAGCACTTCAGCTTTTGTCTGCTTGGTATTTACATAGTATATCTATTTTTGTCCTTTTATTTTAAAAATATGAGTCTTAAGACATATAGGTAAAAAAGGCAGCTGTCAGAAAATAGAGTTCTTATTGGGTAGCATGAATGTGACATGTTTTGCCAAAAATGTCAATTTTTTTAAAAGTTTAAAGAGTGGGTTTAAAGGAAATTTATTTTTAGGAAAAATATAGTATATGCATAGATTTTACAGAATTAGAATTATAAGAAGTGATAATCATATTGTTAGGCATAACTGTTTAGAAAATATTTAAAACTATTATTTTAAAAGATAGAGCCTGCTTATCAACAGCATAAAATAGAATTGCATTTGAAGGTCTGTCATGCCTATATAGCAAAATAAGAATATTCAGCATTTTTATTTCAAAATACATAGTTTAACATCACATGTATATTCTATAATAGATGTTGAGGAAAATGAAGATGTTGGAGCAACCTCTCTGCCCACTCAATCACCTCAGCCATCATCTTCAACTTTCGACCCTGGCAACATGCCATCAAGTAACTATACTGGAATACAGATTCCTCCCGGTGCACACGCGCCAGCCAATACACCAGCAGAAGTGCCTCATAGCACAGGTAGGAAAGGACTTCTTTCCTAAGTAAGTAAGAACTGCGCCTCTTACCGTAACTGTGCCTCATAATGATGTCATCAAGCATGATCAGTTCTTTAATTCCATTTGGACCCCCAAGAAAACATCAAGTTCTTTTTTTTAATGTTTTGATATCAGTTATATTTTAGTTTTATGACAAATGACAGAACATTTACATATATTGATTACTATTTATATTTTATTAATAAGAATAGCTTCTGTGCTTTTCATGTGTGTTGCTTATTTCTTTTTTTCCCCCCTCCTCTCCTTTCCCCTTCACTGTTGTTCAAGAATAGCACTAAGGTGAGGGGGCTATTATGGAATTTATCAGTCAGCGTCCCACTGTGATAGCAAGATGCGAGTTTTCCTCCTCATTTCCTTAGGACCCTGCTCTGCCTGCAACATGGGGTTGTTCATGAAGGGGAGGCGCAGAATCTCAGTAGCAGTGGAATCACAGATTAGTGAAAGGAGAGGGTTTGAGTTCCCTTTTTTTTTTTTTTTCTTTTCATCTTAAGATTACAAATGTGACTAAAACAGGGAAGTGATGTCTACTGTCGGAATAATTCAGGACTATATGTTTTCATAGAAAAAAGATCTGACAAAACTAGTCTCCAATAAGTTAATATCAGTAGATGAAGACATTTTTTAAGTTTTAAAGAGATACACTTCTATGTACTTCTGTTGTTAACATAGCATCAGCCCTACTTCCAAATAGAATGGTATTTAAAATGATAATTTAAATCTTTAACTTATTTTAAATTTTTAATAAAAATTGTTCTTAAAATTTTGCTTTGATTTCAGCATAAGGGTAATCTGTGGTAGTAAACTATACAAACATTTCAGAACATGTAATTGATATAATGAGTCATCCTTTGAGTCCTGATTTCTAGTCTTTCTGTTATGTAACACACTAGTAGTTCATTGACCTTCCATTGTCAGCCTCAGTTTACCCATACCAATTAGGTTATTGTGTATGAGTTGAATAACATGTAAGTTTTCTGTTTTGACCATTTTAGCAGCAATTATGATTAGTCTCTTTCTATCTGTTTTAAAACTTTCAACTTTATATTATCTCCAGATATTGCTCATAATTTTAATGAAGGTAATTTTAACACTGATCTCATTTGTGTCATCATTCTGTATATTTTACTTTGCCTTGTCATTGGTTTATCATATATGTGTTGACATTCATAGGCAAACCAATTTGAATTAGTTTGTAAATCAAATTTTATAGAACATTGTTTTAAGTATTTCATCTTTTAGAAATATTGAAAATTTCTGTAGAATGTGATCAGTAAAACAGCTACTTTAGGTGTATGAGACTTAGATGAATACTGTTTGAATTATACAACTAAATTTAAACACTACTCAAGAGCATCCCTATAGAAGAGTAAAGTGAGCATAAAATGCATTGGAGTCAAGTAGTATTGGTTATTAGTTTCTACCCCTTGCTAAGCCACAAACTCAACTGTTGTTCAGCTTCTTTTGACCTAGGTTTTTCCTCTTCCTAAAATGAAATTAATCACACTTCTCATGGTTGTTTTAATTATTAAAGGGGAAAACAAATGAAAATTGACTAGTACTGTGCCTAACACAAAATCAGTGTTCAGCAAATTAGCTTCCTTTCCCTTTTTTCTCTTCCTTCCTATTTCTATGCCAAAGCAAGTCAGGGTATTTAATAGCAGGTTAATAACACTTAAAATAATTTTGTGAATCAAAGGAAGTGTTACATGTGGGGATATGATATGACCTTAAAAAGATTGCCAAAAGGGGTGTTGCTTTAGACAGTATGTCTTAGGGCAGAGTAGTGGTATAGCCATATACACATATTTTATTTGTAGACATCCTATATGTACATATGCAAGGGAACATATATTTCCAATAGAAAGGCTATATCAGGTTGAACCATATGAAATTGCTATATTTGTACAACAAAAGTGATAGAATATTGGTAGTTTCATATGTTCAAACTAACAGACAATAACACCTGTTTAGAATAGGCATCACATAAAGATAGATATTAAGGGGGTGTATTCTATTAGGAAATTTTATGGTATGAAGAGTTCATTTTGATCCAGTTAAGTCTAACCTTATTTTTTCTCTCTCTTTTGTTCATTAGAATGGGGACATAAAACTAAAAACCTATAACCTCTCTTAAGATAAAGTCCTATCTTGTTACTTGATACACTCTTACAGACTTAGCATCAAAATAACCATAACTATTTTATAACTCTATTCTTATAGAAACTGTATTAGATATTGTTGTCCTTAATTTACTAACAGTAAAGAAATTAAACAGTTATCCCAAGGAATACTTGTATTTTAATACTAACATACTTAGTAAGTAACAGAACTAGGGTTGAACCCAAATCATTCTGATTTCATGGTTTTGGAACCTTTTTTGCCCCTTCCTCTAAGGAGTTAATATTCTGTCAAATCAAAACCTACTTTTTTGATATATATTTCCCTCTTACATTGATTTGAGATGTTGGAATCTTCTCTTAGCTGGCAGAATTTTTTTCTATTATATTTAAAACAGTTTTTAAAAGATCAGTTTGTAGTTGCCTAATAGAAAATGAAATAAGATTTTTAGTTTATAAATATAGCAGATGTTTCCCCTCTTACTCACTTTAAGAATGATTTACTTTCTCTCATATAAAGGTCCAGGATACACTTTTATCAAAGGGAAATCCTTAAGATAGCTGAAAAGAATAGTATGTACTAATATACAGTTTTGAGTTCCTCCACAAGAAAGTAACGGAGTGCAATGAGAGCAGGGATAGTGGTTGTTTAAAGAGGCCATGAGTTTCCCCTTGTGCTTTAACCAATGTAATATCAGATGTGGGCAGTGCGGTGTGCTGTTTTCTTTCTTTTGAAATTCACTTTTTATAGCTAAATGTAGAGGAAGATCTCAGTGAAAAATCTAAATTAAATAACAATTTTATAATGAATGCCAGCCTTTTAATTATAAATGCAGCTCACCTCATATATAGATTAAAAACTTAGCTCTTTTATTGTTCTGAACGTCAGTAGTACTGCATTGGAGTTCTTATGTACAGCTTTCAGAGTTTATGTTCTGGCCTAATCATTTGTATCAGTGCTATTTTCCATAACTGTTCTGAAGTTTCACTCAATCCAACCCTCCTATTTTCTTACCTTTATTCACAGTCTTCCTCATGGTTAGCATGTCTTCCTGCCTTTTCTCTGCCTCTCCAAAAGCTACTACTTTCAGTATTCTGTTTAATTACACTTTTTGTATAGTCTTCTCTAATTTTCTACGCGACACCCATTTTCCTCACACCGTTTAGTCAATAGAACAACTTAGTGCTTAATTAGAAATCTTGTAATGTTTAATTTTTGAACGTGTATTAATCCCATCTAATAGGATATGCAACAATCGACTTAAAAATTAACCAAAAGTTACTTTTGAATACTTCTTTTTTGTTAAGTAATAGAAAGAAAGACATTTTCAACATACTCCAGGAATGTTCACTCCAACATATTGCAGTCTGGGGGGCTGCAGCCCATTTGTGAATTGACAGATGAATCCTTTCCAAATCAGAAAAGAAGGAAAAAAACTATATTTGGGCATCTCAAAAAATAATGAACATAAACTAAAAAATGATTTTTACTAATGTGACTGGTATTTAGGCATCTGTGTTGAGCCAGTATGCTAGGCTACTATGGCAACATGCTATGATAGTTGCCAAGAGGACAGGCCTTGGCTCGTGTGTCAAGACGGATGAGGTGCAGTACCTTCTGACTGCTGCATGAGGCATGTTGGGCACCCTGTGTGTTAGTTCAAGTCTTAGTTGAATTACAGTGACCAGAAGTTCTTACTAAAATGCAAACTACCTATTTTTCTAATATTATTCAAATAAAATTTTACTACATAATTACATTTTCTCTAAGTCTGTTTTGTTCTTGTTAATATTGCCTACTTGATCAGATGGAGATATACAAATATATATTTAAAAATTAATGCAGGACACTGACCATAAATAGTATGCCTTTTCCATACAGAAAGGGGTTGGTTTGGAGGATTTTAATTTGGGCAGAAACAACTTACCTAGCAAGGAATGGCATTGATAAGATGGATCTGTGAGAGGGCGGTGGAACACTTCCTTTTGTTCACAAGTACATTGGACTGGGCACACACAGGCTTGCGCGCTCACAAGTACATTGGACTGGGCACACACAGGCTTGCGTGCTCACAAGTACATTGGACTGGGCACACTCAGGCTTGCGTGCTCACAAGTACATTGGACTGGGCACACACAGGCTTGCGTGCTCACAAGTACATTGGACTGGGCACACACAGGCTTGCGTGCTCACAAGTACATTGGACTGGGCACACACAGGCTTGCGCGCAGGGAAGGGCGCCCTGGAGCTGGAGGCGGCCCTGACGGGGCCTGGAGTGGGGATAAGGAGGCGGCTGCGCAGGCACGTTTTTTTTTCACTCTTTAAAAATCATACTTGACTTTTCATATGTATACCTTTGTACTTCTAAAATTTTTATTAGTTAAATTTTTAGTTAAAAAGTATTTTCATGCTTTAATAGTTCCAGAGATGTAAAATGAAACTAATTTGCCCTAAATTATAATTAAATAAGACAAAACAGTATATATCTAAGCCACTTTTCTTTTGGGTTGGTAATGAGAAGGTCCTTCAAAGTCAGCACTTTGATCTGCATACTATATTTTAGAATTTAAGTCAACCTTTTTGAAACCATCGTGATAGACCTCTCATTGGCTATGGTTTTGTTTTCCTAAAAACTTCTTAATTTCTTTTCTTCCTTCCTTCCATTTTCCTCTTTTTATTCCATTGTCTTTCCCCTTTGACCTTACTACAAATTGCCTATTCGAATTTAACCTATTAGCTTGGGGCAAATGAATCCTGTTTTCTATTTGAGTGCATTGATTTAGAGTAATCAACTTTTTTTCTTCATTTGCTTTCTTGCTGATTGAATCATGTAAGTCTCTCTGGGAAGTTTCAACAATTTGTGTTAATGTTTAGGTGATTAGTAATCCTCAACTCTATTATATTATTTATGATTAATCAAGAATGCTATTCACTGAATATGACAGTCATAACAAGTTCTAATAGGAAGTCAAAACTAACTGCTAATTGGATATATAAAAATATCATCTTAAAAACATGTTAACTGGAAATTTGGAATGTATAATTTTTAATTTTATGCACAGTGGTAAAATGAGTCTTATCCTATAAGTTAAATTAAATCATAAGTATATCCCACCTTGTCCCCAAATTATTTAATTGACTAAGAAATTAAAAGGTAGGAAGAGAAACTATTACTTCTACAGGTATTTGGTAAGCTTTAATTAATAGACAAGTTGAAACATTAGACATGACAAACAAAATACATAATAGGAAATGTGTAACCAATACATGTGCGTAAACACTCAAAATGTATTTTCCTGCATATTTTCTATACTGGCCTCCAACATCAAATAACTATTTCAGTTTAGAATTCATTAAGGTTTCAAGGAAGTTAGTGAAGCAATGCAATTCCTCCATGATCCTTTAAGTGCTTTCCTGCTGTGTAATTAAGAAATACAAAACTTTAATCATCATTTGTGGTTTTCTGATTTGCAGGTGTAACAAGTAATACTATCCAACCTACTCCACAAACTATTCCGGCCATCGATCCTGCACTTTTCAACACAGTTTCCCAGGGTAAGTCATCTGAGTGTTTTATAAGATATAGTGTATCTTTTATTTTGGGGTGTCGTTTTGTTATTTTACCTTAGGAGTGTCTGGGTAATTTGAAACACATTTCTTTGAATGCCCATGTTCACTGGATTCTCCAATGAATCAGGATTGTTTCATATTAGCAAAAATGCCAAAATCTAAAGGCATTTCCTTTATTTTTTGCAATTCCTTTTTTCGTATACTGCTGTATATATATAAGTGGCACAGACAGTTAGCCAAAGATATCATGGAAACTCATTAGTGTAGTTCAGAATTGCCGTGTGTTGCCCTGGCCTGGTGGCTTGGTTAGAGCATCGTTCCTTACACCAGAAGGTCGAGGGTTCGATTCTTGGTCAGGGCACATACCTGGATTGCGGGTTTGATCCTCGGTCCGGGCAGGTACAGGAGACAACTGACCAAATTTTCTCTCACATCGATCTCTCTCTCTCTCTCACTCACTCTCAAAATTAATAAAAACATATCCTCAAGTAGGTTAGGATTAAAAAAAAATTTTAAAGATTGTCATGTGTTTTGATTATATTTCTCATCTGTACTGAGAGATTACCTAAGAAGAGAGAACTGGGTATAATTGAAAATAAAAATCACTGAGGATAATTATTTTGGTTGGTTCATAGGCTAGGTGATTGGCTTGTTAATTTTAATCTTCCCCACTTTTCTGACTTCTCTGTTGTCCCCCCCAGTCCATCATTGTGTTTACTTTGGTCTTTCTCATTCAGTTTTCTTCATATGTCTGGAGGGACTTAGTCCTTTGTATTTAGAATGAAAGCCTTGCTCTGTTAGTTTCTGTTGTGAGTTTCCACGATACTGTGTGTGCAGGTCTGTTTCCCACGTGATTCCCGGCGCTCCCACTGTGAATGGGAACTGGCTGTTGAGCTACCTGCCTCTCGGTCACGGCCGGGGAGAGCTTTCTTTTGGAAGGGAGATGGGAGAGGGGTCACATCTACCTCAGTGGTATCATTATGAATATAACATGAATTGCTTAAATTGTATTCCTCTAATTCTGTATTCACTCAGTCGGCTTACTGGTGTGACACCGAAAAGATTTATTTGTAGTTGGTTGAGATTGTAATGAAAGTTAGGGGAGATGAGTGGTTGGAGCACAGTGCACTCACTGCTGATGGTAATGGTGTCTCCAAGCACTGAGGACTGTGTTGGTGACTATACATTTAAAATAGATGCAAAAACATGTCTAAAGATTTATAATGTTAATGAAAACGGAATAACTTTTGGGTGCTGTTGGTGGGACTATAAATTGGTAAAACTTTTCTCAGTAGCATTATGTCAGTATTAGAATGGCAAATATAATTTTTTTGACCCAGCTATTATACTTTTAAGAATCCATCTTTAAAAATTACTTAGACATGGGTATAAAATGTATTTACAGAGATTTTTATGTCAGCATCAGTTGTAATAATAGGAAAAATCTTTAAGTGCTTATTAATGAAGAAGTGGTTAATTAGTTACGATCTATCTATACTAAGGAATACTGTGCCCATACTTAAAAAGAATGTGATAACTCTCATGTGCAAAGCTCTAGACACAGTAGGTAAAAAAGCAAGTTGCAGAACATTGTGTAGTATGGCCCTGTTTAGGGGGGAAAAAATGTAAAACTAAACGGTATCCTCCTGTGTGTACAGATGCGTGTAAGTGCATAAGAAAAGTCTAGAGAAACCACAGAAATAGTGGTTTCATAACCACCCCTGCACTACCACCTCTAGTACTTCAATACCCCCTTCCTGTTACATTTTTCTCCTTACTGTTTAGTAGTATTGCCTTTTAATACACATGTAACATGTGTGTGTTAGTGTTAATATATTTTAAATGTTTTTGTAATGAATTTTTGGCTGTCTCTGGAAAGGAGAATGGAATTGGAAAGGTAGGTATTTGAAGTGCAGTATTTATTTTTTTACTTTGTATACCTCTATATAGTATTAGAGTATGAATAACAACTTAGAAAAAATTTTGAGAAGTAAATGGAGTATCTAAAAAGCATTTAGCATAGTACCTGGTGTAATAAAATTCTACCTTCAGTCATTACTACTGTCGTCATTATGAAGTGACCTATCTTGGCAGTGCCTGGATATAAAGTAAGGTTACAGTGCTATGCTTTACATTTATCTCCAAAATGTACTGCAGGTCAGATGGTTCCCGTACGATCCTGCCTGTGCATCTGTTAAGTCAGAGAATCGTAGAGCACATTAGGATCAGATTATCCAAGGTCCTTGGTCTGAATTTCTAGAACTACCTGGTTAAATAGGAAAGAATTGCTGAAGACTCATTTTGGAAATATTTAGAGCTAAGTGTTATTCCTTGGAAACTTGATAAGTCAACCTTGGAAATGGATGCTTATGCCAACTGAGCATGCAGGGATTTCTCTCTACACCAAATAATGTTACCTTTGATTCAGCACTGATCAAGGGTATCTTTGCACTCTAACAGAGAACTTGCTGGATAGCTCTAGCTGGCTCCTGTTTGAAGGCTTGCTGGATAGACCTTGTCCGGCCGGTGAAGGGAGAATCGGGTCTGTGTGACAGGCAATGTGGACTGAAGCCACCTGGAACTTAAAAGCACAGATTTCAGAAAAGAGATACTATGTTAAGCAACCTCTCTGATTCTTGAAACACATCTTAGGGCCACAACATTCTCTCTGTCTCTGGTTCTGACTATGGAGTCTGGTAAATTTTAAGGATAGAAAAAAATTTTACTTTGGTTCATTAAACAGTATTTACTATTTTGAATAAAAAAATCAGATAAAATGAAATTAAACTTTTTTCTTCCTATGTCTTATCCACTTTCTGTGTTTAGCTTTTAAATACTAATTTAAAAGAACTATAATTAGGAGACAGATTTTATTTTTATTTAAAAATTTTTAATTAAAATGTTATATTTTAATGACTTATACATTATACTTTTTAAATGAAGGGAAGCCTGAACTGTTACAAAATACCAGAAGTAACTTTGACATGGCTTAATAAGTTCTTTGTATTTGTGATTGTTGAAAATAAATTACACCTCTAAGTCTGTAACTTACATTTTGTATCTAAATCATAAATTGGTTATTACCCAGTTATTTTTTGCGTTACAAATTTGTCATACATGTCTATTATATTTATTACATATCAGTAACTATATTTTTACTAAAATACTTTCATTCACATTTTATAAATATTGAAATACTCATTTTATAAGAAAATTCAACATTTGTGTTCTAAAATAGTTTTGTCATTGGTGGATAAGTTTAGTTTATAAAACTAAAATAGTAACTGAATTCTTGCCACTATCCACATTTTACCTGATTAATAAATAAGTGATATGTCAGCAAAACACTGCTAACGCTAATGCTGTAAAAATAAGATTAGCCCTGAGCATCAGGGCTTTCTTCCAGCAAGTCCAGTAAATTCTGGATGGATGCCTTATGTGTTTAAAGATTGCCCCGAGATAGGAGCACAGGATATTAAAACACAAAATGAGCAGTGTTAAGGTTAAGTTAATTTTTAAAGGTGTCTCACTCACCTAGATAGCATGTATATCTCAGTTACTAGAGCCTCTTAATATATGTTGCAAAACCGTTGTTGAATCTGGTAGGTATTTTCAAGCAAAAATAGACTGAGGCATGCCTGACTAAATTACCTGTAGAACTGCAGGATAATTGTTTTTTAGCTTTAATGGATAACACACAATATATTATCTTTTTGTTATAGCCTATGCCCCTAGCGTTCTGATCAGTTCTCTTAGAATCCTCATAAAATTTCTAAGGAAAATGCTATTTATTTCAAAAGACAAAATACAAAGTAGTATTTAATTTCATCTTTAGAAATATATATTCAAGGATATTCAAATCCTAGATTGAATGACATTTTTTTAGTATGGTTAGTTTACCCAAATTATTAGGTTGGGCTGACACATATCAGTCACATGTGTAAGTGGAAAACTTGCTGAGAAAATACATTTTAGAGAAATAATTTCTAGGGGTGGTTTACATGCCTAATTGTGTAGTTTAATGATATAAAACCTCTGTTAAACCTTAGAGTTTTTTATATGGATGGCACAAAAATATTTTTTAAAAAATTTATGCTTAAAGAAAGTTAAACAACTTATGTAATATTTTTACATAAAGTTTGTTATTCCTTTTTTTAAATTTGAGGGTTATATTTCCAGTTCAAATGAAGGTTGAATGGTTTAGTCTGTGTGTATTGTTCCATGAAAAGAGAGGCAGAGCGATTCTAGCATAAACACAGAGCTTCTGTCGTTGTTTTACAGAGTATAATTTTTGTAACTAATTTGCCAAAATATAAAGGCTTCTAGATAATTACTTCTGAAAGAACAGTCTTGCTCATGTAAGTTATTGTGTATTGGTGTAAGTATGGTTTATATTAGTAATAAAAAAAATTGATAACATGAGAAAATTTATTTAAATACAACTGGGATTGAAATAATCCTTAATGTTTTTATATAACCTCTAATATTTTCTGTAATCTTAAATTTAAACATTTACCTAACCTGAACAGAACACTTTTTATATTCTTATAGCTATCTTAACCATTCTTTTCCTCTAGGGGATCTCTGTCTAACTCCCGAGGACTTTGCGAGAGCTCAGAAATACTGCAAATACGCTGGCAGTGCCCTGCAGTACGAGGATGTGAGCACCGCTGTGCAGAACCTACAGAAGGCCCTCAGGTTACTGACGACGGGCAGAGAGTAAGGCCTTTGTGCGGCAGATTCCTGCATTTCTGGCTTAAAGAACTAACAGTCCACTACTCTATCTGCAGCCTATCGGGAGCACAGATGTAGGGAAGTCTTCCGTCCCATTGACTCTGACAATGAAATCTGTGTCTGTACCAGATTCCTGCTGAAGCATTCAGCGGCAGTCTCAACCAGTTTTCATTGCCTGTAGTGGGCCCAGTAATCTCTGGATAAATAGGGCTGATGTTAGCAAGATTCTAAAAACGCCCACTGAACCCTCCTTCAAAAAACGAAAATACAGTTCTATAAGATGTATTGGGAATAAGCTTTGTATCTTAATTTACATAATTTAAGGAATATTTTAATTTATAATTTGGACAAACAGATCATAGTACTTTGCTATAAAATTCTAAACTTAACTTTTAATAAAGATTGCCAGAATATTCCAGATTAGAGATCATGTTTTTTCTTTTCCTCAGAATTTATAAAACAAGTATGAACATCCGAAACTGTTGGATGAATCTGAAAGAGATTATGTTCAAAATTCAATTTATGTTCATGTTAAAAGTTAAAATTTTCATGGAGAAGAAGTAAGGTAAAGAGGTAGAATCACTTTTAAACTTAGGAAGACGTTGGTTTCCCAGCCGCTTTCCCTTATCCATTGACATTTAAGGTGAATTGGTATGTGCTTCATAGGCAGCTTGGCTGCATGTGTTAGAGAATGAAAAACAGTTGTAGCGATGCCTGGAAACCCGGTGCTTTGAGGTAGGGTTCTCCTCTGCTGCTATGGAATGGACTCTAGAGTGTAGCTATGAATGATGCCGAAGCTTGTAAGAACTTAGATTCTCAGTTGTTAGGTTTATAAGTTTTGTGGGGAATTTTGGACTTAATGTGTCACCTGCATTTGTGCTGTGTAAAAAAATAAATACAAGGATTCTTTTCACTGGTTCAACTTACTACAGAGCCAAATGTCTGTTTTGATTTGCATGCTAGAATTGTCATTTTTTATGTCATTATTTTTAGTTACAGGAATATATTTCTGTAGTAAGACACAATTTTCTTTTAAAAAGGCAAATTTGGCAGATTTACCTGTAATTTATCTGGTCCATTTGATTCCACTAAGATTAAAGTACTTTAACCTATGGGTCAGCAAACTATGGTCCATGGCTTGGCCACCTGTTGTTCAAATAAAGTTTTATTGAATCAAAAGTATACCTGTTCTTTTGTTTTATCTTTTGTTTTATCTTGTGTTTGCTTTCCACGACTGCAGAATTGTATTTCCCACAACTCTAAAATATTTACTCTCTGGCCCCCTAGAAAAAGTTTGCTGACCCCTGATCTTTGTCTGAAAGAAAATGAATTATTAACTCATAATCATTTGTGTCTCAGTTTTTCGTTACATAAGTGTAATGTTGTTGTATAGGTTTGATAGAATGAGTATTCAGACAGAATAAACTGTTCTAAATTACTGAAAAACAAGCCCCAAATATCATGTGTCCTAAAAAGTGTTCTTATCTTTCACAACTAAATTCCTAGAGCATTTGTAGGACTCAACATTTACGTCTAGAAACCCAGTGTGCTGATATATTCTTTAGAACTTTATTGCAGTAGAGGAGTGGCTAGAATGATTATTAGTATTTATAAGAGGTAAACATTATAATTCATATCTTAACATGTCTGGGCACTAGAAAGAAAACTGTCACCTCTTATTTCACACCCTATTTTGTTGCTTCCGGCTGGGAGAGCACATGGAGGGAAGAAGTGTGGGAACCCTGGAGCCTACTGATAAGTGGGTGGGCAACACTGTGACAGCCCTTATCTGTCAAATGGAAGCAACACCACTTGCCACCTGAGTTATTGCTAAATGAGATAGTCTACATCCAGTAAACAGCACATAAATGTTTATTGTTACCATCAATGTTACATTAATAATGTAAATTGTTACTTTACATTTATGGATTTATGGTACTTTTCTACTCAAAATCTTTTAGTAGCTCCCCATCTTGTTTAGAGTAAAAGCTGTTTCTTACAAAAAAGCCCTGTATGGTCATAACCCTCCTAGCAACTTCACAAGCTTCCCTCACTTCCACCCTCTGACCTCTTCTCTGTCTACCTCCCTCTTTCCTTCTTTGCTCAAATGTCCTTCAGTGAGGTCTATCCTATCCTATCCTATTCGATGCAAGTATACACACCTACACACACCTCAGCATTTCCTATCCTATATCCTAGTTTCCTCCATTGCATTTATCACTAATACAGAAGTTCCTAAAGTGTGGTCCCCAGAACTTTCTAACAAGTTCCTTGAATATCAGGAAATCCCAGTTGTCTCTGTGGTCTGTTGCTTAAAAATGCTTTCTTGTGTCAGGGATTAAACTATAAAGTTTTTTAACTTTGTATTTCAAAATCTTACAAGATGAAGTTAGAAATTTACTGATGTAGCACTAGGATAGCAATTTCATTTAGTCATTCAACATGTATTTATTGAGCAGCTACTTTGAGCCTGATAATTATCTTTTACATGAAGAAATCTCAGAAAACAAGGGGGGAAAAGCCTGCCTCATAGACTTTATATTCGAATGAGAGGAAACAGAAATTTAATAAAAAGTATATCATGTATTCAACTGTGGTTTTTAAAGGGTAATTGTTAAAAATGCAAATCTCAAGTCCTCCCCTCCTCCCCCCAGTCCTACCCTATCAGAAACTCTAAGGGTGGGGCCTGCCTTTCTAAGTTTTAAGAAACACTTTAGGTAGTCTGGTGATCCCTGAAGTTGAGTGGTTTAATAGTAGCTAAATCAGAAACGGAGTCTGGGAGAAGACAGATTCCCCTAAAGTAGTGGTTCTCAAGTGTGGTCCCTGGACCCCCAGCATCAGCATCACCTAGGAACTTGTTAGAAAGTTCTGGGGACCACACTTTAGGAACTTCTGTATTAGTGATAAATGCAATGGAGGAAACTAGGATATAGGATAGGAAATGCTGAGGTGTGTGTAGGTGTGTATACTTGCATCGAATAGGATAGGATAGGATAGACCTCACTGAAGGACATTTGAGCAAAGAAGGAAAGAGGGAGGTAGACAGAGAAGAGGTCAGAGGGTGGAAGTGAGGGAAGCTTGTGAAGTTGCTAGGAGGGTTATGACCATACAGGGCTTTTTTGTAAGAAACAGCTTTTACTCTAAACAAGATGGGGAGCTACTAAAAGATTTTGAGTAGAAAAGTACCTGATGTGACTTAACTTTTAAAAGGATCATATTGGCTACTGTGGGAGGCCGATCAAGAGTATTACAATAATTGCTGTGAGATATCCTGATGGCTTAGGTCACGGGTAGCAGTGGAGATAATAAGATGTAATTGGTTTCTGGTTATTTTTTTAAAGTAGAGCCTCAGTATCTCTGCCACGCTGGACCTGAGGTCTGAGCATAGGAGGAGTGAAAGTTGACTCCCAAGTTTTAACCTGAACTCCTGGAAGGAATGAGTAGTCATTAGTTGCACTGGGAAAAGTTGCTGAATTCTGCTGACAGGGAGGCTGAAGTACAATGTTCCCAAGTTCTTGTGACCATCTCAAGTAAAACTACTTGATAACATTGTTTTTTCAATGCACACAGAGGGGGAAGAAAAAATAAGGTAAGTTCTATCTACAACGATTGTCACAGACATCTCCCCAAATCACTGCTGAACTGGAGCTAGAAGCCAACGACAGTTCCCATGGTTAGCATGGCCAAGGAAGTTTGCAGGCTTCAAGATTACACCAAGAAAAAGACCCCAGTTATAGGTCTTGAAATTGATCTATATAAAACAAATAATATAAATAATACATTAATAAATAATAACAGAATAGACTGTTTCACGTACTCACAACTCTAAACCTACTTTTGCCAATCCCATCTGTGTACCAGATAGTAATCTTGAAAATAATTTTAGAATTATGTGGAACAAAAAGCAAAGAAAATCAAAATAATTTTCAATTCTAGTAACCGGAGGGCACAAAGTTTCGTTAGAATTCTCTGCTGCTCAGTAGCTTAAAATCTAGTTAGTGATGCAGATATGCACAAATAAGCATAATTGGAGGCCTAGTTTTAAGAGCCAAAAAGAAAAAATTCATGAATTGCTACTGAAACTTAGTAATTTATTTTCTCTAAAATGGGGAAGCTGGAGCAGGACATTTGGAGATGGTGGCATTTGAGTTGTCCTTTATCCCAATAGAATAATTTTCTCTTAAAAAAAAAATATATAATGCCTGCCACTACAAAGGAGTCTGTCGACAAAAAGGAGTGAATCTTACGAGGAGTGTGTTGGATTTGGTCACTATTTACCTTCTCAGGAAGGTCAGTGTTTGAACGTTTAAATTTTTAAACAACGTGACAAAGCTGAATAATACTGGAAACTTGAATTCAGTCCTAATGAAGTGTTAAAAATTTTATTAATGCTGATGAATACAACATAAACTCTTGGTTCACAAACTCTTAAAGATGGAAGGACCCCTAGAAATGATCTAATTCAATCTTTCCTTTCTATGAAGCGCAAAATTGAGGCCCAGGAGAGAAGTAGTTACTTACTCAGGATCTCAAAAGCTGGTTATTGGAAGAGAAAAAGAGAAAAAATTCCAACTCTCAGACCAAGAATCTTTTCTTAGAATACACCTTGTTGTGAGACCTAGTTCAGAAAGACTCTCAGCTAAACACACACATTCCTGAAATGAACCATTTTACCAAAATACATATATGCAAGTCCAATGAGGGTCATTAATTGGTTAACTGGTCAATCACATCATAAACAATCACTCATTATTACCCTGAAAAGCCCTTAAAGTTCCACTAAAAAAGATGTGTATCATTTCTACTTATAGAGATTCCAATCTTCAAGGTTGTAAGAAAACTTCACATGAGAGATGTCTCCTGCTAAAATACAGCATGTCCTCTCATCGCGAAAGTGAACAACAAAGCACAGTAATATTAGCAATTCCTGTGACTCTATCACCAATAAAAATTACAGATACTATCATACCTCATTACAGCTGTTGCAGCCGTTACTAATATATTGAAAAGTCATTTATCTCAGCACTATTTTGAATGTATGGACATTATTAGATGCTTTAGATATTATGAATGTGTTAATAAAGACATTATATCACAAATTTGGATTTTAATGTATTTTTTTAATGATTTCCACATAATTATTTTTTATCCATTATCCTAATTAGGCAGTATAACAGCCCCCAAAGATGCCCATGGCCTAATCCCAGGAGCTGTCGATATGGTACCTTACATGGCAAAATGGGCGTGGCACCTGTGATTGAGGTTAAGGACCGTGAGGTGGGGAAGGCTCCTGGGTTATCCAGGTGGGCTCAATCTCATCACATGCATCCTTAAAAGCAAAGAACCCTTCCAGTGTGGTCAGAGAGAGGATGTGAGCAGGACTCCATCAGCCTTTGCAGACTGAAGTTGGAAAAAGGGAGCTGTGAGCCAAGGAATATATGGGTGGCCTCTACTGGAAAGGACCAGGAAACAGCCCCCCTTCCATCTTCCAGAGGGCACGCAGCCCGTCAACACCTCCATCGAGCCCAGGGAGACCTCTGTCAGACCTCTGACCTTCAAAACGGTAAGATGATCATTTGTGCTGTTTAAGCCAATAAGTTTGTGGTAATTTGTGATGCAGCAATAAATAGAAAACGAGTATACTATGTTATGCATTTAAAAATATTATTTTGAGAAACTCACCAAAGGGGGTTCATGCACAAAAATAGGTTGAAAACTCCAGCCTAGTAGGTCTGTTGCTATAGTTAAGAGGAGAAACCTTAGGTAGTTTGACATTGACATTGGCTGTTGTCTTTTGGTTCCCTAAAGGTTCATCTGACATGTTTTTTTGACAATTGTCCAAATGTTCCAGTAAAACTTTTTGCAGCAAAATCACAAATAATAGTTCTCATTCAAGCTTGGCGTTTTCTCCGCACTTTCTTTCTCAATGGTTCTTATTTTTTCTGGCTTCCACCTTTTCCAAATCTGGATTGCACTCACATAGGCGGCTCGTTCACGCAGGAATGGGTGCCAAGGGAAGAGTGACTTTAATCCTTTTAATCGGCATTATTACTTTATTAGCTTCCAAATGAAACCGGCTGCTACTAAAAGATCATGCTGGGGAGTTGTAGGAAAGGGAAAACCCAGGAAAGGGGACCCATGCCAAAAGAGATGTTTCCCATTACCAAAGGCAAGAGTCTCCGGTGATTCCTTTAATGAAATTCTTGGGAGCAGTTCCTAATTTGTTAAAACATGTTAATACAGAGAAGATTTTGAAAAAAGTTTCCATATTCCTACCTGTTAAATGTACATAGCACATTTTGAAGTAGCTGGTTAGTTAAAATTGGTACTGTCTGTAGAGTTCTAGGAAGATGCCTTGTAGAACTTCGGCAGTGCACTATCTGTTAGTTTGAAACCTAGCAGGAAAAAAACGTTGTAATCCAAAGCAGATGTTTCTTCACTTGTGT